GTTTTATAATCTACAGTGCGTATTAATGATATAGTTTTAGAATCTATTGTGGTTATTAATAATGTTTTAAAAGCTACTGTGGGTATTAATGATGTTTTTTTTTAAATCTACTTTGGGTATTAATGATGTTTTTTTTTAAAATCTATTGTGGGTATTAGTGATGTTTTTTTTTAAAATCTATTGTGGGTATTAATGATGTTTGTAAAGCTATTTTGGGTACTAATGATTTTGTTTTAAAAGGTTGTGGGTACAAATAATGTTTAAAGGCTACTGTGGGTATAAAAGATGTTATTTAAAAGCTATTTTGGGTATTAATGATGTAGTTTTAAAAGCTATTGTGTGTATTAGTGAGACAGTTTTAAAATCTACTATGTGTATTAATCATATTGTTTTTAAGTTCTACTAATGGTTTTATTTATAAGCTACTGTGGGCATTAATGATGTTATTTTAGAATCTAGTGTGGGTATTAATGACGTTTTAAATGAAACTTTGTATATTAATGATGTTTTATAATCTAGTATGGGTATTAATGAAGTTATTTAAAATCTACTGAGGTATTTATGATGTTTCAAAATGTACTGTTGGTATTTATGATGTCGTTTTCGAAGCAGCTGTCAGTATTAATGATGTTATTTTAGAAGGAACTGTGGGTATTAATAATGTTATTTTATAAGCTACTGTGGATGTTAATGATATTGGTGTAAAAGCTACTGTTGGTATTTCTGATGTTACTTTAGAATCTACTGTGGGTATTAAGGATGTTGTTTTAAAAGGAACTTTGTATGTTAATAATATTTGAAAATCTACTATTGGTATTAATGAAGTTATATAAAATCTATTGCAGGTACTAATGGTGTTATTATAAAGCTACTGTGGGTATTAATGGTGTTATATTTGCAGCTACTGTGGATTATAATGATGTTTTTTTAAAAGATACTTAGGGTATTTATGATGTTGTTTTAATAGGTACTGTGGATTTTGATGATGCTGTTTTAAAAGCTACTGTCTTTATTAATTGTGTTGTTTTAATTATTAATTATGTTGTTTTAAATGGGAATTTGTATATTAATGATTTTGTTTTAAAATCTACTCTGGATATTAATGAAGTTATTTAAAATCTACTGGGGTATTTATGATGTTTTAAAATTTACTGTGGGTATTAATGATGTAGTTTTAAAAGGTACTGGGGTATTGATAATATAGTTTTAAAAGCTACTGTTAGTATCAATGATGTTTTATAATCTACTGTTGGTATTAATTATGGTTTTTTTAAATCTACTGTGGGTATTATTGGTGTTGTTTTAAATGCTACTCTAAACTGATAAATATATGATACCTGAATTGCCATTATCGTTGATTCTCCTAGAAGTTTCTTGAAATTTGAAGACCTATGGATTTCTCTTGTTTCTGTATTCTGCATAACCTGCAGTTTATAATACAGATATTAATATTTTATTATTGTTCTTGAACTATTCGTATATGAACATATATTAATCATTTGTTTAACTACAATTGAATCTCCTGCAAATGGGAAAACATTACCTATTTCAGAAATAGTGCAAATTAGAAACGATGGCCATTTATGGTTTAAGTTTTTCAGTATTGTTTTAAGCACTCATAAACACATGATAGATAACAGTAGCATTACAAATATATTAGTTCTTTTTTTTAGTTCAAACATTAAAAGCGTGTTTTACTTTGTAGCTATACTTTTTTATCAAAATCCATTCTATTTAACTAAATGTTAGTCTAAACAGCACTGAGAAACGACGTATACTGCGTTTTTTCATGTTTGAATTCATTGTATTAGATATTTGTTTGTTTGTTTGAATTTATGCACAAAGCTACACAATAGGCTATCTGTGCTCTGCCCACCACGGGTTTCTA